GAAGATGATGGTGAAGATGATGGTGAGGATGAAGATTATGGTGAAGATGAAGATGATGGTGAAGATGATGATGATGGTGGAGATGATGATGATGGTGAAGATGATGGTGAAGGTGAAGATGATGATGATAGTGAAGATGAAAATGATGCTGATGTGAAGATGAAGATGATGTGATGGTGAAGTTGAAAAGGATGGTGAAGATGATGATGATGAAGTTGGAGATGATAACGATAACAAGAAAATAATGAGAACACGTCAAATGTAATAACAGATCTACTGAATGATAGAAATATGAGGGTAGGCAATTCATAACCGAAATAACATCAACAACAACAGCTTCAGCAACAACAGCAACAATTACACCAACAGCAACAATTACACCAACAGCAACAACTAAATCAACAACAACAAAAAACAACACAAATGACATCAACAACAATATCAATAACAACAACAGCAACAAAACATGGACAATAATAACATCAATAAAACAACAACAACGAGTGAACGACAACAATAACATCACTAACAAAAACAACAACAACACTCACAGCATTCACGACAACAACATTCCCGACAACAACATTTCAAACAAGATTTTTAATCAGCAAATAAAAAATGAAGTAACAAATTTTGGACGGTCGCCAATGGAAGGTCGTAAATGGTGTAGCGATTAAATATTATGGAACGCCACTCTTATTTTCAAAAATATTTAAATTGTGATTTTAAAATAATTAATCTTATTACTATTATTGTTATATTTATTATTATTACTATTACTATTATTATTATTATTATTATTATTTATATATTTTGTCGTTAAAAGTAAAAAAAAAAATTTGAATAAAAAAAAAATATTGCCACTTTACCGTATCACGTTTCCCTGTTGGAATTCGCCGAGTTGTTGGTTACTCAGATACATCATATACATATGTATGGGTCATTCTCCGTCAACTTGAACGATTTAAAAAAAAGTCCACGCCCGACCATCTCCGATTTTTTTTAAATTTGAACAGTAAGTACCTCAATGTATTTCATCGACAAAATAAAATTTTTATAAAAAAATTTCAATTATTTTTCAAGTTATGAAGATTTTTGTGACAGCATCCTCAAATTTTTGAGCGATTTTTTTCAAAACTTGTACCTACGTAGAACGCTATATCTCTTGAACTAGCCAACATATCTTGATGAAATTTTTTGTGCATATCAGTGAAACAATGTAATAACAAAAAAAATAAATGTTATTGTCTCGAATCAAAGGATATTTTGAACAAAAAATCTAGAAAAAAATGAATTTTTTGAAAATTTCACCGATTTCAAAACAGCGTAGCTCAAAATCTATCGCAAAATAAATAAATATTTTTTGTTATTTTAGAAGTACCTTAAAGTCACAAATAAATCACAAAATTTCGTTAAAATCTGTATTGAATTTTTTGAGCTATCGGAGCTCAAAATGTCAAAAATATGAAAAACTTCTTTTGTTTGGCGCCATTTTTAACTATGAAGAACCAAACGTTTTTTAATTTTTAAAATTTGTTTATATAGTGCTTTTATAGCTTAACAACATATCAAAAAATAAAATTGGCGTTTGCTTTCTTTGAAAAATAAAACAACTTCAAAAACAGGCAAAACAAATTTTTTTCAAGTGTCAATATTTTTTATTTTTTTCAATTCAAAATTATTATACAACGTGCTAATGTGTTTAAAAACAGTTTCAGGAAGAGTTATGTGAATTTTTCCAACATAAGAAATGTTATCATCAGGTATAACAATCAAAATATGTTTAAATGGTACATAGCAAATATCTACATTTTTAGGCCAATAAAAAATATTTTCTTTAAATTTCTTCAGACAGTTAACTTTTAAATCATCATTTTTATCATCTCTTTTTATAATGTTTACTAAATACCATTTCTTATTATAGACCAAAGGTACAAATCGACCCGGCTCATAATCATCATTGGTGTCTTCACTTTCATTTTTATTAAAATTGTATCCAAATAAATCTGAAGACAAACGTTTCATCAAAAGTTGATCATTTTTGTCTGGAATAAATGAGTGATGACTTCGACAACCCTTTATTTTATCTGCTGACCTAAATCTTTTTCAAGCATTCCTAGCAGATCTTTAATTTCTTTTTTGTCTACCCAAAAAAATTTAATACCATTTATTTTCGCATCAGCGTATGTGTAAAAATCTCTGGCGTTCAATATCTGATCTTTTTTTGATGCCTGCAAACTTGCTCTTGCAACCAATCTTTTTGTTGTCCCTCCAATTCCATCGCAAGGACTTTTACCATGAAAAGTTGCAAAAAAGTGCCATTCTGCTTTTAATCCAAAATCCTCTTTGTGATGAATTAAATTAGAAAAATTTTTGTATTGACTTACCGCACCATCAGAAAAATATTTAATTAAAGTAACGTTTTTCAGGTTTTGTTTTACATAGTTAATTAAATGTTTTTGAAAAGCATAAACAGCGGAAACATTGTGATCGAGACAGTCGCTAATCATGCAAACGCTTTTGACAGATAAGTTTTCATAAATAAATAAATAAGTTTTCTGTAATAAAGAACAATTGGGTGAAGAGTAACTTGCGTGTTGCTCCAATGTTGACTCTGGATTGCATCCTGTATTATCACCGAATAATTTTCAGCAAAATCCATTAAAGCAATACACTCCGAACTTTTTAAATTTTTTTAGAATCGCTAAGATATTTCAATTGTTCTTTGCTTATGTAACGATGCGATGACAACTCGTCAAGTTTTTGCGAAAATCTTTCAATGAAACTGTCAACTGTATCCTGTACGGAAATCAATGAACTGCGATTATCATCATGGGAAATTACAGCTTCTTTGAAAATCGCTCTTAAGTTATTTTCGACACTCAGTTTTCCTGGGCATTCCTCACATCTGTGTAACATGCATTCTAAATTTTAAATTGAAAAAAATAAAAAATATTGACACTTGAAAAAAATTTGTTTTGCCTGTTTTTGAAGTTGTTTTATTTTTCAAAGAAAGCAAACGCCAATTTTATTTTTTGATATGTTGTTAAGCTATAAAAGCACTATATAAACAAATTTTAAAAATTAAAAAACGTTTGGTTCTTCATAGTTAAAAATGGCGCCAAACAAAAGAAGTTTTTCATATTTTTGACATTTTGAGCTCCGATAGCTCAAAAAATTCAATACAGATTTTAACGAAATTTTGTGATTTATTTGTGACTTTAAGGTACTTCTAAAATAACAAAAAATATTTATTTATTTTGCGATAGATTTTGAGCTACGCTGTTTTGAAATCGGTGAAATTTTCAAAAAATTCATTTTTTTCTAGATTTTTTGTTCAAAATATCCTTTGATTCGAGACAATAACATTTATTTTTTTTGTTATTACATTGTTTCACTGATATGCACAAAAAATTTCATCAAGATATGTTGGCTAGTTCAAGAGATATAGCGTTCTACGTAGGTACAAGTTTTGAAAAAAATCGCTCAAAAATTTGAGGATGCTGTCACAAAAATCTTCATAACTTGAAAAATAATTGAAATTTTTTTATAAAAATTTTATTTTGTCGATGAAATACATTGAGGTACTTACTGTTCAAATTTAAAAAAAATCGGAGATGGTCGGGCGTGGACCATGGTTCAAGTTGACAGAGAATGACCCGTATGTATGTATGTATGTATGTATGTATGTATGTATGTATGTATGTATGTATGTATGTATGTATGTATGTATGTATGTATGTATGTATGTATGTATGTATGTATGTATGTATGTATGTATGTATGTATGTATGTATGTGTGTATGCATGTATGTATGTGTGTATGCATATATGTATGTATGCATACATATATGCATGCATGTATGTATGTATGTATAAAATACGTTACACTGTATATCTCGTGCATGCCTACCTTTCAATAATAATACCACATATAATAAATATAAAAAATATAATATAATAAAATATAATATAATATAATATAATATGATATAATATAATATGATATGATATAATATAATATGCATTGGTAATTATTTTCCGTCATAACACAGTTTAAGATCACGATGTATGCAATACAATATGAATTTATAGTAGGTGAAAATGGTGATTGAATATCGGGCAGTTGATAGTTGTAATATTCACTTTACTAAATAATGTGATACAATTGTCTGTGTGGATAAGTGAGGTAACAGAAAGTGATGATGACGTGGGAATAAAAAAATAATGCTGTTGAGTGATGCGTCTCTTCTCAGAAAAGTTCATTCGTCACAACTCTTTCCACCCATTCATTTATCCATCCCCTTATTCATCTATCCATCCATCTATTCATTCATTTATTCATCCATCCACTAATTCATCCATCCATCCAACACTTCCAACTTCCTTTTGAGTCATTGCAATAAAAATGTAAACTTAATTTAATTCGTTGGGTAGTGACACTGTTTAATTCAATTCAGGCATACAACAAAAAAATACTAAGTTACAACAACAACAACAGACGAAAATAAGCAAAAACAAATCTTAAAATAAAAAACGAAATTGATAATAAAACAAACAAAAATTTGAAAAAATTTACAGAAACTGATAAACGTTGAAAGTTAAAACAATGAGAAAACGCTTGAAGAACTAAAATAACGATAGATCGTCATCCGAATCGTATTGACGGTAGAAACATTTAACAACAACAGCTTGAGTGATGCTGTTGGGAGATCTCCGTGTTACGCGGGTCCATCGATACAAAATCTAATTCAACAAACAGATTGATGGGGTGTTAATTTTTTTCTTATTAAATAAGAACAAGAGAAAAGATTTGCTTTTAAAACCAGTTATGCTGTTTCGCTGATTGGTCGGTCAGTCGGTCGGTTCTTTGGTAGGTTGGTTTGTTGAGTGGCTTGTTGTTTGTAGTGGAACAATCGATTTTTTAATTGCTCGAACATATAGTTTGTCAGTTGTATAGTCGAAACAGCACAGCATTGCAATAAATAGGCAAACCTTTAAAATTCTCGATTGCTGCCGTGTTGCTTTCAAGCTAAGTTCTTTCTATTTTTATTAACCTGTTAGTTCTTTAAAACACCTCATTGTTTTTCTTTCCAATACTTTTCAATTTTAAGAGCTAATTTCATAAATTATTTTGTTTGCTAAATTTTTGAGTAGCACCGTTAAAAATTTCCAAACTACCGAACGCTTCTACAGACTGAATTGAATTGATCAATTTATTGATTGATCGTCTCTGCAAGCCTGAAAATTATTCCAGGTTCGCTGCACACGTCGCTGGCCTCTCAGTAACATAATTCTCACGTCAGAAAACAGCTACGTCGGCCATTTTATTATCCCATCCATCCAATTTCCCATAGAAAGAAAGAATCATGAACGTATCGTGGAACACAATTAGGCAGCTCTGACGTCATCGTACACAACAATACACGTCATCATTCTCCACTGACGAACATTTGGAAATTGAAAAGTTAGCGAAGAAGATGATAATTACAATAATAATGTCTTCATAAAAGATGATGATGATTAAAGACCGATTGTGACGATGGTAGAAGTGATAATGATGATGGAAATTATGTGACTATGATAATGATCATTGCAATGGCTATGATGTCGAGGATGATGAAGTAAAAGATGATGGCAATGATGAAAATTGCAATAATGACAGCATTTATGGTTGACCAACTGATCGATCGATCAGCTGGTTAGTGAGTCGGTCGGTCGGTCTGTCGGTCGGTTGATCGTTTAGTTGGTCAGTTGGTTGGTTGGTTGGTTGGTTGGTTGGTTGGTTGGTTGGATGGTTGGTTGGTTGGTTGGATGGTTGGTTGGTTGGTTGGTTGGTTGGTTGGTTGGTTGGTTGGTTGGATGGTTGGTTGGTTGGTTGGATGGTTGGTTGGTTGGTTGGTTGGTTGGATGGTTGGTTGGTTGGTTGGATGGTTGGTTGGTTGGTTGGTTGGTTAATTGATTTGTTGAATTCAGTTAATTGTTTCTGATAAATTGGTTAGGAAAACTTTGTGAAAACTTTCCCCAGACATTTTGATGAACTAGTTTGAAAAATGTGCCCGCATCTACACAAAATGTCGAAATAATAAAAATAAAAACCACTTCGCTGTTTCTTTGTAATGGGTTAGAGTATGTAACATTAGCTGTTACGACGTAAGTTCTTGCATACTAGGAGAATGATGTTCATTATCATCTCTACGGAAAATTTGTTGTTGTGGTAAAAATAGTAGTAGTTGTTGTTGTAGTAGTAGCAGCAGCAGTAGTAGTAGTAGTAGAAGCAGCAGCAGTAGTAGTGTAAAATTTTTATGACGGTTGAAAGAATATTTTTAAAAAAATATTTAAATATCATGATTGAGATGTTATTTTATTAACGCGATAATCTTTATTGAGAGGTCGTCATCAACTCTAACACAAAACAATTAACACCTCATCAGGCAGGCCTTAATTACTCAATAAATAATTCTATTAATATTACCACCATACAGCACGGTCGTCCCCCTCCTCAACCCCCTCCCCTCCCGTCAACCAGCACACGCACACACGTACATACACGCCCACCACACACACACACACACACACACACGTACATAAATACACACACACACATACAATCGACTTAAACATTAAACCAATCAGTTTGAAACCACAATGATTAGATAAAAAAGTTTAACTAGATTCTTTTACATGGCAACTCAAGATAATCCAGCAAATGCTATCGAGACTTGGTCACCCCGAACATTAAAACTTCGTAAACATTTTTGAGTTGATAACAATTTACCCACAGTATAACAAAAAACGCATCGTCAACAACAACAGAAGTAACAACAAATCAGTTTTGTATAAACCGCAACAACAGCAACGAAAGTAACATATATTATACAACAACAACAATAACAACAACATCAATTTACGCAAGCACTCAAATAGACAGCAACAGCAAGGAACGATGCTCAATCAAAAAAATACGTTAAAATAGCAGAAAGACGAAATATAAGAACACGTTAATACAAATAATAATGCAACAACAACAACAGCAACATTAAAAACAACAACAGACAACACTCAAGATGCCATCCTCTTAACGACTTTTGTATACAGAAGCCAAATCATTTTGTATCTTAATGCGTTTGATCACTTCCCAATACTTCTAAAATTTTTCAGGTTTGCTAGAATATATGTTAGCATATATATTGTTATAATACTCGCTGTCGTAACCGATTTACGATGCGACGGGTTCAAATCTTCGATTGAATAAAATATTCCAAACAGTTATTAGTTATTAAACTTTATTTACAGAAGAAATCAACTAATCGTTTATTTCTAGCAAATTCAAATTAACGCAACAATTAACTTTTAAATTGTTTAAAATCTATCGCTGTGACAACGTCAACAAACAAATCAAATATCGCTTTAAATAATTCACCGAATTGCTACTCACGAAATCACAAAATCACGAATTTCACTAATCACGAATTTCACTAATCACGAATCTTCTTGCGACGTGCGCTTATATATTCTTCGCAAGCGTCGTTTCTAGATTCTTCTAGATGGTCCGATTCTAGCATACTCTAGAATGCTCCAGTCACTAGAACATTCTAGAATACGCTAAAATCTAGTGCGTTCGGTAGCACGGTTATAACAATATTTTGCTCATTTTCAAGCTAACAGAATAAGTGGCAAGCAAGACTGTTTGTGCGTGCGTGCGTGTGTGTGGACGTGTGTGCATTAATTAATTAATGCAGTAATTTATGGAATCTACACAATTTCTAGCATTGGATGGTTTTTTATTACATCTCTCAATATTTCGAACAAAATTCTTGTCGTCATTATTTATTTTATCAAAGTTAAAACAAAATACAGTTTTCCAATCCATTCTCGAGTGTATAGGACCTATTTGGATTCTTCGACCATCTCCAGCACTTGTTGCAGTAACTTATCTAAGCACATAAACAACACGAAAACTAACATCGATAATGGAAATTTGAATTTCCGAAAAAAGCTTTTCTGTTTCAAACATGCACACGTCTTGTTGTATGAGTGAGTTAAATAAGCTTAATAATCAGCTGAAACTCGTCGTAAGAAAGATTGAAAAATTAAATAGAAAATTAAGCAAACCTGAAAATGCTGTATATATGTATATATATATATATATATATATATATATATATATATATATATATATCTTTATTTATTAATCTATAATATAATAGCAGGGCTGGCAAAAATATTTGAAACTCATCTGCGAGTGTTTTCAACAAATGAATTAATGTTATTGAATTGTTGATGATATCATTCATCAAGACGTGTAATCGATGAACGTATGCAAACCAAACAAACATACAAACATTGCAGGCATTTAAATGTTAACTTTAAAGGACAACGGGGTAATAATTGGCCATTAAATGCGAAAAACATAAACAGACTACTTAACACAACAACACACGTGAGCAACTGTACAATGTAAATAAACATCCTATGTTATGTAAACAACACATGCGAGTAACATTATTAAACGTCACATACGAACATTTGCACAACAAGGCAGGTAAACAGGGTGAACAACATTTGTGAACAACACGTACAAACAAGCTCTGCAAACAAGAAAACGTACACGAACATGTTTCGCGCCGATGACA